AAACTAATCTGGCAGTTTCCTCTACTGTAACTTGTCCCATCAGTAGAAGAAAGAGACAGGCGGTGTGAGATGCATCTGAATTTATGGAGGATGAGAGTTACAGTCATGGAGTTAGCTCCCCGTGAAGTGCCTGGACATGGCCTGCAAGCCAGCACTCCATTTCTGTTCATGTCAGTAAGTTTTGGTGTGCTTTTGCTTTAAACCCTAAAAAGTTAGGGTGGAAAGAACCAAAAGGCAGCATATGGAAACTGAGGGAGCACAGCAGAAAGTAAACCTGTATTTAGAGAACAGGTTGAAACAGTAACTTCAAAACAAGTTGTCAAAGGACAAAGTGCCTGCAAAAAGCTCCATCAAATAAATTAATATGTGCATGTATAAAAAAAGCAACACCTTTTGCTCTAACCTCTTCAGCTAATATAAACGAAAATTAGATATTGGAAATCATTTGCTGCTAGTATGCATGGATTTTGTTAGTGTCCCATAAAATAGGCATTCTGAAGTATGCTTTTAAAGAGGAGACTCTGACCTTCAAGCCATTTTTCTTAGTTCTCTCATCTCAAATAAGGATCCCCAAGCTTCTTTTATAGGTCTTGCTGGTTTTAAGAACCATCCCTGGTTTGAGAAAAGAGACTGGGGTATGGGGTGGGGGGCAGAAAACAAGTACTATTCCTGGAATTATGGGCTTCTCCCCCCCCCCCCCCCCTTCACTGTTTATCTATTCTGCACCACTCAGCTGTTCTCCGTTGCACAGAAATAAAAAGTTTAGTTTAAAAAGTATGTTAGAACAAAGCTGCAGAAATTGCCTGGAATTTCCTTCATTTTCAGCCATCTGGCTTTCATTGCTTACTTCTTTCCCCTCCTCCACGTACGTTTACCAAATCTTTTCAACACACACTGGCCAAGCTATCAAATGCTTATAATTAATAACAGTCATACTCCTTTTTTTTTATGCTAGTGCATTTTGGCTTTCCTTAGGCTGCTAATGTCATTGCTAGTATAAACCAGGGAGAGGGTTGGTAAAGTTTAATTGCCGAGCCTTAGTTGAAAAACAGAGAAAATCTAATCAAATTTAAGTCCAGAATAACAACAAACAAAAAAATCATTTTATTTCAAACTAAAAGTATTTCTCATCAAGAAAGGAGAGGAAAGGAGAAGAGAGTTCTTTTCTCAGTGTCTACTACTACTATGATTTTATTTTTGACATGAAGAACCTTGAAGATATATCACCCCTGAAAGTTTACATAACTAACAGTGTCAGAGAGGATTTGAACACAGGTTGAAATCTATTGGCTGGTTTTTATTTTGTTGATATCAGGATGTATTAGTATGTATTATTAAATGAAAAACCAAGATGTCCTGTACAGTAACATGAAAAAGAATGAAATGACCACTATCGCACAAAATTACACAAATAAAAACTACCTCAAAATGGATTAAAGATTCCATTACCTAAGACCACAAAATATATAGAAGAAAACATAGGCAAAACACTACATGACATGACATGTTGGCTACAGGGTTTTTTTGTTTTTGTTTTTGAATTGACTCCAACAGCAAGGAAAACAAAAGCAAAAATAAGCAAATCGGACCATATCATATTAAAAAGCTTCTAAAGAGTGAAGCTATTTTTTAAAGTATTTAAACAGTGACCCTATCACCCTAACAAATGGGAGAAAATACTTGCACGTCATATAACCAAGGAGCTAATAACCAAGATCTATAAAGAACTCATAAACCTCAAGGAAACAAAAACCCCAATCAACAAATGGATAGCAGAGCTAAATAGACACTTTTCCAAAGAAGATATAGAGGTGATTAACAAGCACATTCAAAAAAAAAAAGCTCATCATCACTTATCATCAGAGAAATGCAAATCAAAACCACAATAGCTACCATCTCACATCCATAAGAATGACCCCTATCAAAAAGACCAGAAAGCAGTGTTGGTGAGGGAGACTACTATTTTTTAAGTGCCGTACAAAATTCAGGCAAACTGTGCACACAGACACACTAAATGAAATGCTCAGAGCACTAAATAAGAAAAAAGAATGCCTGATACTTGAGAAGACATATCTGTCTGCTGTGAACAACCAGTTCCAGGTCTGGGAATGTATCTCTCCAGTCAAAGTTGGATGAATGCTTTTGATACCCACTCTGCCACCCACACAGAGAAAGTCAGCAAAAGCAAAGTTCAACCTTTTTTTTAAAAAAATATTTATTATTTTTTTTATGCATACAAGAACTGGGATATAGGCCAGGGGTGTGGGAGGGTGAGGATTAACTCAAGACAGAGTGGGGAGCAGACCAGGTGGAATTACTGAAACACACTGCTAAGGGGCGCAGCTGGCAGGTCAGGAGAGGTCTGCTGTGCCATGTGGGTCAGCTCCCTGGCCAGGGTATTGAACTCATGCTGCAGTGCCTGTGGATAGCTTCTTAGTGCTGGGCTTTAACATGCTGCACCAACAGGAAGGGCCCAAAAGTGAAGTTCAGTCTTCAAGACCATTCAGAAAGGTATTCGCCATATGATCTGACAACTCTGACTGGCCAAGAAAAAAAGCAGTTTCCTAATTCCAGTTAGGAATTAGGAACTCCATTCCAGAGGGCAAACACCTGTCTAAGAAAAGCTGCTTATCTTAATCACCAGCTGCCACTCTGGCACAGAAGCCCAGTAACCAAGATTTGAAACATCATTTCTCTGTTCCCAGAAAATGCTATATATTTTTTGAACACATAGACATCACCATGGACTACGAATCCACAGATAATTTATAGAAACTTGGAGTCCATCAGAGGATGCACTAAAAGGGACAGAGAACAATAATCCATGTACAATAAAAATTGTGAATTAATGATTTAAATTACTCCCAATTGAACAGACGCTACTGGGAAAAAGAAGACAACACTGTGTCACTACCAAACACACTTTCTTTTCCAGATCCATCTTTCACCAACCTGCCATTTTTTTAAGTGCCATACAAGAAAGCATACTGAGGATACCCCGCAGGTGATGGGCCTCTCTGCATTTCTTCCTTTTCAGCTGAAAGTCTGCTTTGCCTCTTGGATGTGAGATGAAGAGAATATCTCCCATCAGACCACTGCACTTGGGCCTCTTTTGTTGTTTTAATTAGCATCATTCTACAAATGTTTAGCTGTGTATGACTGTCCCAAGGAATCCCTCGTAGTGTCCAGTCAGAGGTCTTGCCTGTCAGTTTGACATAGGCTGGTGAAAAATCAAAATACTGAGTTTATCTGCAACCAGTGCAACAAAGTAAAGCTTAGTAAGTGTCCTTGTCTGGGATTCAGTACAAAGGCTGTAGAATAAATCAGTACTTCAAGGGTGGGAAGTAACACCTTGTGTCCAGTTCTCTGGCTCCAGAAGATGTCCAGCTAGTCCCAGGTACTGAATGCCTCAGTAGGGACGCAGCTCACCAAAGCATTTGGATGTCATTACAACACTGGAATGTGGTAGAAAGCCCCTTATGCTTATTTTTAAAGTGATGGTAAATAAGCAGAACAGCAATGTCATTAATTATCGGCACAAAGAAGTAACAGTAGCAGTCTCGTGCTTCTGCCTACGGGGTAATGCAAAGTCACATGAAGGCTGGCCAGGCTGTGGTGACCCCAGAGCATCTAGTACAGACAATTTGTTTTGCAGATGTGGAGACAGAAAAGAGAGACACTTCACCCAGTGCCACACAGCTCCTGGGTGATAGAACTGGGAGAAAAAGCTCAGGCATTCTGACCTGCTAGCCAAGGTTCCTGCAGGCTGTGTATGCTGAAAACATTCAGCTTTCTCCTATCTGGGGAGACTGCTGTCAAACAGCAGGGGGGTGTACCCCTCACCCATGCAGCGAGGTGATGGGCTCACAGAAATGGAGGTGGCAAGGTCAGCACAGAGATGTTGGCTCAGGTGGGACACAGCCCCGTATACAACACCTATGATTTTCCAGGGCCAGCCCTTAATTTTACTTTACCCATGACCACTGTTCTGATCTATATATGGAGCAATTCTGGTGATCAGTCAGGCAAATGTCATCATGGGTTTGTGCCCTGATCTGACCTGAGGAGATCTGTGATCTCCACCTCCTAAGGCTCTGAGCAAGACATCTGGATGGCTGAGAAATCACACAGGCAGCACCAGCTTGACCAGCAAACTGTTGCTCATTCCTCAAGACAACACATTGCTGCTCACATGATACACTTCACAGAAGCAGCAGAACTGTCTTTCAGAAACGGCATTCCCTTCATGGCTAAGATATGACCTTATCCAGTAACATTTTTCATCCCATCAGCAGGCTTGAAAATCTGGCTTTGGTTCTTTAAATACATCCCTTTGAAATCAGACTCATAGATGAGATAGTTTAGCTTCTACAGAAACTTGCTCCAAGCAAGTATCTGAAGGCAAGTTTCTCAAGACACCATAAAATTCTGTGGACTGAAGCAGTGATTGGATTGATTAACTAAGACTTAAGGTTGGGCAATAATGAGACCCAGGCAGGGCTGAACAATGAAATGCTCTAATTGATTTTATGCGTGCAGAATGATATACACAAACCCCAGAGCATGCCATAATGGATGTGAGTGCTGTGTGTACACAGATTTCATAGTGCATCAATTACACCACCCAGAAGCTTGAGTTCCGTATACTCTGCAATCCACTATGATGTGAGGATTGGGGACACAGGTTAAAAGGTGGCAAAGAGCATGACATTTGTGGTCAGTTCACGCTCCTTCAGGGGAAAACAGCATGTGTGTGCACTTGCCTTGCAACAGGGCTCACTGCATAACAGAGCCTTCTGGACCCCGAGCGTGACCACTGGGCTGGAATTCCAAAGCCCTGGTTTCAATTAAATTTAAGTGGATTTGACTAAAGGTTTGAGCTGATGCTAATTGGTTTTCAAAACACTGGGTAACAATAAGCATGCTGGCCTTGCCCAAGGACAGACACACCCATTTCTGCACACGCTCCTGGGTAGCAGGGCAATCAACACGCCCCTTACCTGGCTGGGCATGGGTCCAAACTGCAGGACTTGAGGAGCTGTGGGGGCCGGCGGCTGGTCACGCACAGGTTCTCATCAGCAGGCTCCCGTGTCTGTTTGTTCAGGCAGCTCACCACAGCCTCCTGGACACCTGTGCACAAATCACACTGTCAGGCCAGAGTGGGCGTGTGTGGGTGATGAAGTGTAGACAAGGCAGCTGGTGGGAGGTCCATGCGATTGGTAGGACTACTATCGCTGCATGTCAGAGACGGCAGTTTAAAGCCCAGGACTGTCCATCTTGTCAAAACTCTTATCTGGGAGAAGGCAGCACCATGGGAGAGCAAACCCCAAATGGGAGAGGGTGCTACCAGAGCTTCTAAAATGATTCGAGACCAAGTTATAGAACTGTAAAGTTGAAATGTGATCGCTTAATGGAGGAGAGCAGGGTGGCAAAAAAATAAAAATAAACTGTCCCAAGATCTTCACATGTTATCTTTTAATCAAGAGGCTGTTATGTTTGGAAGGGAAGTCCTGAGTAGAGCTTTAGTAGCCAGTATTCTGAAAATAGCTGTGATTCTGGGGCCAGGCCTCCAGGCCTCCAGGCTTCCAGCCTTTGCTGGGTCCTTTTGATTCTGGTTCATTTCTTTAGTGACCAAGGGCAGCTTTGGAAGTTGAAACAAAGAAAGAGAACAAGATGTTTAATCACTACAGCCACAGAATCTGTTCTACACTCTCGGAAAACAAACTTCTCTATATCTATGGAAAATAATCTTCCCCCTGATATCTGCATACCCGACTCTGATCTAGTAAGACAGGAGTTGGGGCAGTGACAGGCATAAGGTTAGCACTCTTGCAGGAAGGTGTGTGGTGTCTCTCATGGAGCCAGTCTGGGGCAGGGAGATATTGACTTGGGTCAAAACCAGGCATTTCAGGCCACCATTAGAATAAAAAAGGCTAAAATCCACAGGGTGTACGTTATTAGCCAGGCAGTGTGATTCAGAACTTGATGCATCTTTCCATCCTCTCATAACTTCATAAATAAATGAGCACTTTTAAATTGCATTTACCAGCAAGAAAACTTAGATTGAGAAGAGTTAAAAGACTTGTTAAAGTCATGCAATTGCTAAATAGTGAAACTGTGGGTGGCTATGCCTTAGAATTGGAGCTTTAATTACTTAGGACTAACATTTAAAAATGCTAAGAAATTGTGATATCAACTAGAATTCTCCAGAAAAAGACCTACATATTTGTCTGGGACCTTTTGGCAGATTTTAAGAGAAAGGCAAGAAAGGATATTCTCAAGAATTTGATTTCCAACATTCATGGCTCTATATAAAAAGATACCTACCTATAAGGCTATTATACCAATCAATATATAGCTATACTAAGTTTCTCTATAAAACCATTATTTAAAATGTGGTATTTTAAAGCCAGTATCCAAATTGCATTTCCTCTTCCCAGTAATTCTGAGAAATCAAACTGTTTAAAAAATTAATCACAAAATATTTACTCTGTGGTCATGATAGTACCCTTTGCATTTTTTTCCCTAAGCTTTTTATGAGCTTCAGTGCTTGGCTTAAATATAACATGACTGGCGCAGGGTGGAGCATTTGGGATTTATACTAAATATTCAAGTTATTCCATCCTATTCTGTAACTGATTGCTCTTCTCTTGGTTGTAGATGAAACCAACCATTTGAAATTCATGAGATGATGATGTAGCAAAACATGTTAGAAGAAATTATTTATATTCTAACTCTTACTTTCTACTGGACTATTCTGTCATTAATAACATAATGATGACAAAGTGCAGGACAAAGTCACCTATTCCATTTAGAGCCTAGAAGAGCAGTTATTAATTTTTCAATTCATTTACTTGAATTATAAAGATGTAAAGTGCTTCCCTAAATTACAATGTAATTGGACTTTATTCATTTATTCAAACCCTTATAAAATTGAATTGACAATCCCAAGTCAGGAAGTGACTGCAGGGCCATGTGAAAGTGCTTATTGCAGGTGTGTGTGAGTGGTATGACCTGTTTCCATTTGTGGACTCCTTTTACAGATCCAAGGTCTTTCTAAGACTCCAAGGCAATGGCTGTAACCATTCTACAGCTTCTCAAAGGGTATCAGAAATCTCTTAGATAAGTAGAACACAAATTCATATTACCCCAAACCAATTATCATAGCTGAACATAAAAGTCATCTTCAGGGGTTTAGTGCTAAGTTTAAGAGGCATTCCAAAGCTAATGAATTCCAAATTTTAGTGTAAAATGATGGCTTTTTCAATACTATTTTAAAATGTCTGTTGCCACAAGGGTCAGTTGATTCGACATCCTTAGTGCTTAGAGCAGTGGGGGAAACTATTAAAAAGAGCTCTTCTATAATTGAGGAACATCTGGGATGGTGTTGTGGTCAACATCATGTGTTTTTGTCACGTGCATTAATGAAAAGGGCAGGGCATGCTAAGCTGAACGTGCAATTTGGGCTGAGGAGAGGTAGTTGGGGTGCTTTGAAGGAAGGAAGGAAGGAAGAGCCAGTGATCTGCCATGGGCTGGGGAGTGTTGGAAGTTAGAGAAGGGAAGAAATCTGAGGGCTTTACCTGGGAGTCCACAATATACTCTGCCCAGGGGAATCAGGCCAGGAGGTGATATATTAGCTCACCGAGCACAAAATCATCACTGCGCTCTTTTCAAAAGACCAATACATGTGCTCTGAAGGACCATAGGTTCAATCAAGTACACTACAGCAGGTCCTTGTCTTTGAATAATGTTGTCTCCCTCATTATTTAGCTATAATGTTGATGAGAGAAAATATCCTCGCAGATGGGGAGCTAAATAATACTATCTGGAGACCTTGTTTCATTATATGTCATTTCACTTAATGTCCAAATGTCCAAGAAACTTAATGATGTTAAGTTAGGAATTACTATTTGTTGATTTTGAGTTTTCCTTTCTTGACAGAAGGACTCATGAGGAAAATAGCAAAACCAAAACCAGAAAAAAACGGAGAGAGGACTAATGAGGAAAAAGCAGCAAAAGGCATTAAGACTTTATTCCTGGGCCCTCCCTAGTGGTGCAATGGGTTAGGATGCAGCACTGCAAGTTAGCTGCAGCCACTTCAGTTCAAGTTTGGAGTCAATGCTAAATCTTCTCTCGGCTAGATTTTAATGTTGTTTTGACCATGTATGAGTTCAACCTAATAAAGCTATTCAGATTCTGATTAGCTCTCCCTGACCACACCTATAATTCACATATGGGAAATTAAAATAATAGGGAGATGATAGTGTGATGCAGGGCACAGGTCTGAACAAATTAGGCTCACTTTCAATCTTCTGGAAAAATGGGATTTTCAGTGTTCATATCTCCCAGAATAGCATAATTGTTACATGATATTTGATGACAGCTTGGGAAAATGCAGCCACCAACTACAGCCTAAATTACTAACTCATTCCTTCTGGTTGCTACCTCTGCTAGGTGAAAGGTTCTTCTTACATATATCAAATTTCATCTCCTGAGATTGCAAAAACAATGAAATTAGCTTGACCAGCCTTACAAACCAAAATTGATTTAACATCTATCTGTTAATCCTGTATGTTCTGGGTTGGCTTCAGCAACAGCAATGATTAAAAAAATATACAACGTTGTGGGCTGGATTTTGGTGAAAGATCAAAGTTGATAATACAATAAAACGTTACTGCCAAACAATGACTTCAAAATGTACATATCCTGTATGCTGAAATAGCTTTTTAGTGCGTATGGGCATCATATGGACCATATAACTCAAGCATATTTTCACCACTTTGGAATTTTCAACTCTAACATTTCAGGCGTAAATATATTACCTTGGCACAAGGATATGCTGTAGGTAAGTGTGCACAATTGTTGACAGCTAAAGACTTAAGCTATTTTAGTAACTTTACCCTGCCTTAGATATAAAGCATGCACAATTTTTGCTGCACAAAGATGTTCCGTTCTCACAGGGAGAGACCAACTGTTTAACAAATATCCAAATCTTATTTCCAAATTAATATCTTTTGAAAATATTTTAAATTGAAAACATTCCATGTCCTTTCTACACTTTGAATTTTATACCCCTGGTTGATCAGCACAACGGTTTGAATCTTAAAAGATAAAGGTATCTGGCTATTGATATATTCCATTACTGCATCTATTTTTTCCATCTGCTCATAAAGTTCCAGGCTTGACTTGTAACCGAGAACTGTAACTAAGAGAGACCATAAATAATTTTTTTTTCAAAGTACATTCGTTTTAGACTAGAGATAATGATCATTCAGTTCAGGTGATTATGGAAATTGGAGATAAACACACACCATGCGAACACTGAGTCATTTTGGACAGAAGCAACTGTGGTACTGGTATCATCCTTCCTGGTGACCTCTCAACATCTGCCTGAGCTCAGCGATGATCAACACTTGTTAAACACCCTCCCTCACTAAGCTTGAAGAGAAGATGCTCTCAAAGTGAGCAGAGAGCACCATATAAACACAGATAAGCTGAGTTCCAGCAAGCCATCTTCTAGAATCAGATGGAAGAAATTAGGCTTTAAAATAACAGGACTTTCCATTAAAACACTTCAGAATTACACGGTTTGAAATTGGAAGACTTAGAAACAAACAAGGACTTCAAGGTCAAAACTATTAAATGCCTATTAAAAGACCTGATCAAGAAAATTGGTTGTTTGCTAGTTCTTATTCTACTATTTATTTATCTTTTTCAACTACATGTGAATAATTTGGGCACAGTTGTGTTATTTTCTTCATAGCAACAGCATATGCCTTTTAAAAAGTTTCCAAGATACTGTGGCTTAGGAAACCGTTTTGGGAAATAATTTTAATACATTTTTTACACCAGTTAAGAAACTTTGCAGGGAATGCACAACCTTAATAGTCCAAAAGGGGGTTGATAGCAGTGAGAGGGGCTGGGCAGGAAATCAGCCAGTATTTCCTCACCTAAATCTCTCTCTGGAGGGCAGATATGGGTGAGTGGGAAGATGAATCTATTCTCTACAGTTACAAGAAAGATAGTAATCTTGAAGAATTAACTGTTGATTAAATGATTTCCTCTCTCACTACAAACCCATTTAGAACACCTGAAATAAAGAATCACTGAATATGTTATCAGTACACGTGGAAACGTTTAACATTTTAATTAACATGCATAACAAGAAAGCTTCAGGAATTCTCTAAGTGCTTGAAAAAAATGTGAAATGATAGGAGGAATGTGGACAGAGAAATAAATAGCTGATCTTGTTCTAGCTGCTACTCACTCACTTTGTGATTTTGAGCAAGTCATTCAGCTGCTCCATATCTTAATTTTATCATCTGTAGAATGGTGCCGAGGTCAGACGTTAAGCTCTGAACTCCTTTCCAGTAATAGGCAACCAGCGTTAACCACCCTTTGTATGCCCATGCCCTTTGTAAATAGTATGATTTTGAGAAATCAGCTGAATAAATTGTGACCTGTTCTTGGGAATAGGAGGGTGTTTTGTCATCTTGGGTCTCGGTTCATATCACATTCACTGAGGCAAGGACATAGATAAATAAAACAATGTTGAGAGCATTGCCAGTACAGTGTCAACTTTGTTTCTCAGTCAGCCACACGAGGATATATTGCAAAACATTGAAATGACAACTTAAAGTAAAAGCATTAGTTGTGTTGGCCACTTACAGCTGACAGCCTGAGAGCCACTCACATCCAGAGAGAAATACATCTGTGTTTCATTCAGTATGCTTTACATTTAGAATGCCTTCCTCCCCCTGCTTATCATTCCTGGACTAGCAGAAGTCACGTGACTTGAGCAAAGCAGGGAGGGGGATATAGAAACAGACAAGATGGCAGCAGGGACTTGAGACAGAGTCCCCCCCTTACCTCCTCCACATGACTCGGAGCACTTGGTGAAGCCCTCATACTCCCAGTCATACAGCTCATCAAAATCCTGCAGGCCACCGTAGAGTCCATCAGTTTCTTCTGGGTTAAACTCAGGGGTGTCCCCGTTGCAGGGTCCTGCATAACAGGCACGCTGGGATGCGGGCTTGGGCCCTTCACATTCGTCCACAGGCAGGTCAGCCACAGACTGGGAGAATGCCAGGAGCACCTGGCACCTGACCGTTCTCACCTGGGTCCCCACACCACAGGTCACCGTGCAGGGCGACCACGCCTCTGGGATGAACCTGCAGGTGGCAAACAAACAAGAGGACAGGGTAAGAAGCCCCAGGCCGCAGAGTGAGGGGGAAGCGTGAGGCAGCATTCCACTAGCTGCCAGGGACCCGTGGTGTTCCAGGACGTGCTCAGAACTCTGCCACCCTGTCCCGCGATGGGCGCTGCAGTTTAGTTTATGAGCTCATTTGCCACTGTTTCTGGATTGGTTTCCTCATGAGTATCATGTGTGCTCCCAGCTGAAGCATTCCAGCCACAGACCACCTGCTTTCTCCCGCTTTCACCCCCAGTAGTGGCTCTTCTGAGCAGGGAATTGGTTTCTTCTCTCGCACACTAAATCCCAGCACTTGTGCCTCCTGCAAGATGCTGGCTATTCTTATAGCAGACTAATACCGATACTAAAAACTATAACAAAATAAGCCCTGTGAGATATTTAAGTTTTTTTTTTTTTTTTTAGTCTGGATCTCATATTCTGTAACTTTCTTTGCTTTTCTGCTCAATGTGCTTCCCAAGATTTATTTATATGTAGAAAGAGGATTTTTTTTTGTAAGTTTCCAAGAATGGAGCAGTCTTGCTCCTCACACATTCTTTGAATTAGTCTGGTCTACAATTCTTTTTATATCATAGAGAAAAGCTGCGCTACAAATTTAAATCTTGAGGCATGTCGCCGTAAATGAGACATTCATACATGTTGGTCAACAACCTCGACTCTCATCCCTGAGAGAAGCTACATTGGTAAGAATTTGGTTTTTCCTCTAAGGTTTTCTAAAATGTAGGACAATGTCCAAATTCCAGAAAGAATATTTTCCTCCCAATAATCAATTATGGCCATAATTGCAATGACCTTGAGAGGGGCCTAGGGAAGAAAGCCCAGAGGGAACAACTAAGATTAAAAAAAAAAAAGTCTGTGTAATAATTTGAATAAAAATCTTTGGAATAAAAAAACTTATTTTTCCATGATTCTAGTACTTTCTCACAGGGAGTCCTGCTGAGGAGGCACGCAAACCTGGCTTCTTAAGCTTGACTTTGGCACAAAAGGAAAGGAGAGATAAGAAGGTTAGTGCATTAAATTCTAGCAAGTGCAAATGGTTCCTATCTAGTTTAGGAAAACTGAAATTCTAATAAGAAACCATCCAAGTTTTCAAACTAGATGGAATGCAACAGAGCTATTTCCTGGGCCTGCGTGTGGAGCTGGGGGTTCGGGCCAGGAGAGCCAGGCCTCCAAGGAGCAAATGGAGTCTGAGGCATACAAGGAGAGTCTTTAAGATGGCTCTGACCCCCACCACCTTTGAAGAACCATTCCCTATGAGAGAACAGGAAGGTAGGTGAGGAAGAAATGGACACACTGAATTATTCCCAAGAAGTTCTTATCACAATTTTAGTTCTATTACTTTGAATTCTTAACCCTACCTTCTGACACCTTGAGAGATTTGGAGAAAACCGTAGCCTAAAAAGTTTAAAGAATACCACTTACAGGAGCTTTCTAGAAATATAAAGACAAAATCTGCAATCCAAATTCTATCCCTCTTCTCATGTACTCACATCTACTTTCTATCTCCAAGAACAAGAATCAGGACAAATATATAAGCCCTGACTTTTACAACACAGGTGTAGACATAAACTATTTTCTTATATTCTACACTATATACTAGAAACTAAACTAACACTAAACTATTTTATACATAAAGAAAAACATAAAACAATAGTCCTGCAATGTTGGCAAAGATATTAAGAATAAGGCTTCTTTAATTGTGTGGCACTAAATATTGTTTTCAAATAAAAAAGAGGACAAATGGGCCCTCCCTGGTGGCGCAGAGGGTTAAAGCACAGCACTGAGAATCTAAAGCCGCTTCTGCATGAGTTCAATTCCCGCCTGCCCCGGAAGTGACCACATGGTGTGGCAGACCTCTCCTGACCCGCCCGCTGCTCCCCTATGCAGTGTATTTCATCGATCTGCCTGTTCTGTTCCCCACTCTGTCTCTGGTGAAGCCTCTCACAGATCCTGAGCCTCTGGCCTGTACCCCAGTTCTGTATGCATAAATAAATAAATCTTTAAAAAAAATGGAAAAAAAAAAGAGGACAAATGAAAACATCTGAGCCCTATCAGCTATTTTATACTAGCAAGGGGCATGGTTTACTAAAGTGACCTTTACAAGACAACAGGGGAAGTGAGCTTTATCTTTAATGGGCCAAAGAGAAAATATTTTAGATTTTGAGGGCCATGTTTGTGGGTCTTTCTGTATAGAATAACAAAGGGGGAGGAGAGAAGGATGGTATAGGGGTCTGCATTTGGCCAGTGGGCTGTAGTATTCCAGTGTGGCTATAGAGCACTCAGTGTAGCTACCAAAATCACCGAGTCATAAATAATTTCCAAACGTATTTTAGGTCCAAGGTTCCATTTTCCCCCATGTTGATAAGCTTAGAAAATGACAAGTAGCTGAACTGATTTTTTGGTGTGTTTTATTTTCCAAAGAAAGTCCCAGATGAAATGTAGAATATGGATGATGGGAAACTAAATCCTCAATTGGTAAGTGTGTGGTAGTTAACATCTGAAGGGTGATAAGTAAGCTCCTGAATCAGACACAAACTAAATCCTCAATTGGTAAGTGTGTGGTAGTTAACATCTGAAGGGTGATAAGTAAGCTCCTGAATCAGACACAGTGTTGTAAACCGATTAGGTCCATAAAACAAAATGAAACAGAGCAAAAACCCAAAAATCAAAGATACCCTCAGACCTCCTTGCCTATAATGAGAATGACTCACTTGGCCTGGTCTCTTTCCAGGGGAGGGAAGATACACCAACCAAAAGCATACAGAGTAGAGAGGGCATATTACCAAAGCCACAGAACTTGTTGCAATGGTTGAAACATGTTTATTTAAAGGCAGCATCTAAATGGGAAAAAAAAAAAAAAAGTGTGCCAAGTACCCATGTGTGTTTTTTTAACTATCTGAACACTTAGGGTTAATAGCAAAAACAATAAACATCTGTTTTATGTCTCCCAAGTGAGTGTCTTATCAAATGTCCAATAGCCTTACTGGCTTATCTCCCACTACACTTAGGTCTTCATCAAGTTCACACCAATTAAAAACAATTTGGTATTTAAGTGGGGCTGTCTTTTGGCAGTCATCTTAATTTCTCTAGTGTATACACTGTATGATATAATATATTCTTTCTTGTTGAAGGCAGGAGATTATATTTCAAAAGAAAAATATCTAATAGAGCAAATGGCCAAATGAATAATAACTGTTTTTCACATGAAACTTTCCTCCACATCCCTAGGTCTCCCAGCTCTGTATTTACTATCTTGAGATTTCTGGCCACAAGTGGGAGGAAGCAAGGTCAGTGGGAGGGCAGGCAAGGACTTAGGAGCTTTAACTGTAATATTTTAAAGACTCATCTTGACTAGGATTTACTAAATTAGAACCTAAAAGTGGGGTCTTTAAAGTGGAATCCCAGTAGGTCTTTCTTTTTTTCAATTTTGATGCACAAATGTACAATGCAAGGGGCTTTTATTGACATTTGGATAATTTAAAAATTCTATCTGTTAGTTTTATTGTGAGATGCATGAAGAATGGCTGGATAGTGAGTTTTTAAAGGATGAACGAACTTCAGAAATAACTGATAGGACTTCTGAATTTAGTCATCTCTAGGATGTTTAAAAAAAGAACCCTGACAAATAAATAATTTATGCTTCTGTCTGCTCTTCTATTACAAGATTAAGTTTTCACTTTATTAACAAATAGCTTATCATTTAATTAGAGCTATCATCACAGACCATTTTATGCAAGAGAAAACAGTGATAATCAAATTCACTTGTGAAATCCCAAAGTGGTTCAGTTTGGCTATTAGTCAGAAGCATAGCTTGAAAAACAGAAATAATCACTTTATTAATATAATGTTAAACAGAGATGACTTACTCTTCATAATTTAGTCTCATGTTACTATAGATATTAGCCAGAAGTAGACTAGTTTTAATTATGCATGGTCCTTGAACTAAGAAATTAAACTTTCATTTTTTCTCCCCTTCTTTCTCATATACATGTTTGTTTCAAAAGTTACTGGTACTCCAAATAAGTGACTTAATAAGTGTTATTTTTCAGGCTGCTACTAGCCTCATCTCATTCTCTGGTTTCAAAATCCAAACTGAAACTTGCTGGAAATCACATAAGAAATACCTGATTTTGGTTTAATTTTCATCCCCACTACATTTCAGCCATAAGCTGACAGTGGTTGTGGATTTCTTTTCCTTCCTGGTGTGTATGAGTGTTGGCATGATATCAGGGTGAAGATAGAGGAAAAGAATGAACAGAATACTGTAGAAAAAGATAACAAGAGCCTTTAAGATGGGCCCAAACATTTACAGATTACCAATACATCCTTAATAGTTATCTTAGCCTGTCATTGACTGTGAACTGTTTTTCTACTTTATAAATGCCATAAACTGATAATACATATAATTCTTGCCCAATGAAGTACAGTGTGTTAGTGAAGTGCAATTGACTGAAGTTCTGTGAAAACACTCACTTTGTACCTACTTGAAAATTCATTTCAGCATTCTTATTTGCCTAAATCTATATGCTTTTTTTAGAACTGACCTGAATTGGCTGTAACATCTTCTTGTTTATTTATTAATTAATGAGGTAAATAAAATCTTTGAGAGATGTTCCTATTATGTTTCATCAGGAATCATGGTTTTTTCTTCTTTAAAATATTGATCATTTAACTAGTGGCTATAGAAGAATCTGGAAAACTATATTGGAAAAATAAAATATTTTATCAGTACTTCTACCCCAAATGAACCAGAAAGTCTTGTATATAAACATATCCTTTGTGTGTGTGTGTGTGTGTGGGGGGAAGTCACTATACTTTATTGCTAAGGATGTTACTCCTAATTGCCTCATTTTATTTTTAACCCAATCTTTAGTTTTAAAAACTTGGTTCTTTTCCCAACTCTGCAAAATCCTTGAGACATTAATGGAGTAAAATAGGTGCAGAAAAAGGTGCAGTTATCAA